AGACAGCAGAGAAGGCAAAGAACATTCTGGAAGACTAATTCCGGCTGTAATTTCGAGAGATTAAGCTTTAATTTTTTACTAATTTGTTTATATAAGCAGAACTTACATCTATTGGAGCAGCATATCATTAGAATTTTGTTTTATTTGGGAATAGTTAGTAGTTAAGGGTTGAATTGTTCAGTTTGCTAGTAGTTGTTAATTTGTTAACTGTTAGAGTTTGATAAATAAATTGTTACTTGTTGATTATAAAGTGAGTATCAGGGATTTGTTTCATTTAACCACTCCTTTAATAGATTACTAGGCGAGGTGAGCTTCCCTGGGTGTTGTGGTTTTAGATTTCAGAGGGGGTTGGCCACTCTTTTGTAACATCTCTGATAGAAAAAAATTCTTCCATTTAGGTACCTTATTGTTAGGGGATTTGTCCCAGTACAGTGTGGGGGGTATGTGTGCAGTCCTGTCGGCCCAGCAGCAACACTTAGAGGAATCACGTATCATCAGTTGGGAAGTTGCAAACACAGCAGTTGAGGGTCTGGTCAGTCATGTATAGGAACTGCTTGCTGAAGTAGGTCAGAGGTCTGGGGCAAATACAGTCCTGAGATTCAGTCCATTGATCCTTCAGGAGAGTTCAAATAGGGATAGCTTGTAGGGGGAGTGCAGGATCAATGGAAGAAGGGGTGGGGGAGTGATGCTGGGATGTGGGGGTTTTAAAGCAGAGGCATTTATTGCAGTGGGATAAAAGGGTAACTCAAATCCATTGCAGGAAATTTGGAAGAGCATCAGAAGGAATGGTCAGCTGTAGGAGGTGGGGTTATTGATTGAGCACCTCTGTGGCTTCCATAGTGAGAGTGTAAAGGAGCAGGAGGATCATCAGCAAATGTTGACCGGAAGGGGTATGATACCTGAGACATTCACAGGATGAAGGAATCACGACAGCTGCCTGGGAACTGACAGCAGACCTGTAAGGTTTGCTTCTTTTCATTACAGACCAACTGGATATTCAATGAGTGGAATCTTTTTTCATATTATGGAATCTGACTGGTTGGTCCTTTGGTATCTATGTGGGCACAATCAGTGACTCCTTGGGCATAGGTGGATCCACTGATGGTGCCAAAGTCCAATGCTCTCTGTGCCTGTATTGGCTTATCTGTATCAAGATGGATGTAATTCCATGCTGTTTGGGATAGGGTATCCATCACCTGCCTGATGGTATGATAAGTAACCAACTGTGAAATGCCATCTAGATCCCAGCTGACCCCTGGAACAACCTGATTGCATAAAATTTCAAGACGAAAGCAGCCATTACAGCTGCTGGTAGGGGACAGCCGTGAAGGCCATGAGGCATCAGGTCACTGTGCACCATTGTGTAAATCTCCAAACTATCTACCTGAATAGGCATAGCCAATTTAGCACCGTTGTTGTCACCCGCAGATGCGTGATTCTTGGCAGTATAATCATGGGTAGCATTTTACTTTCATTGCGCTCCTCTAACCTCCTCCTGTTCAGTACATCACTGCTGTTCTAATACATGTCAGAGTACTGTAGTCTATTCACATCCCTCACAACTAGCATAACAGGTTAGGTACATATTGGAGACACAGTGGATTCCAGACATTCCTCCTACCTCCCAGTGAAAACTGCCTCACATTCTGGAGGTGATGGGATTCAGTGTCACTCTTAAGGAATGTAATTTCCAAATTGCTATTAGCCTGGTGTACATGACATTTATGACATTGGTTGAGTTGTACCCAAATTACAGCCAATGGAAGGTACTTTTTGACATTTAAGTTGTTCACAGCTGATTTAATGTCATGGAGCGCCATTCACAAAAGTCTTCCTTGTGTACCAATTGTTTCATCAAATACAAATTAGAGGTGAAACCTTTGTTGCTTTAACACCTGACAATGTGAAAAGAATGATTAAAAATAAACTGCACAAGAAACATGCTGAATCAACTTAGTTTTCATAAATTAATTTACATATACTATTAGATCACAGGTAAAGTGGTTAACACAATGAAAGGCTGATTGAATAGAAGTGATCAATCAAATGATTAATCAAGTATAACAGAACATTTAAACATTTAAAATGGTGTACGTTCTTTGACTTTTTTAAAAAATGTTTGAAGTTTGTCATTTCAAAAACGGCTGACGCGAGTCGAATGGTTGATCATAATTTTGAGACTCAAATAAAAACATGCTGACAATACAAAGGCAAGCAGTTTGGCAAACAGAGAGAAAGAATGTGCATTACTTCAGGGTTTGACAAGTTAGTGCAAAAGGCAGAGAGATGTCAATACAATTTACTCTGTAAGGCATAATATTTTGGGAAGATAAACTAGGAATAGAATAACATTAAAGGGTGTAGGTGACATGAGAAATGGGGGTTGTAATAAATGATCACCAGAAACTACAACAGTAATTAAATAACACCTTGAATAAGGATCAACAGAATTTTGGGCCATGTAAACAGAATAGTTAAAGTGCTTATGACCTCTACAACAATGAAAAATAAGGCATGAGTGTAGCTTGTGAGAAGATCTGTACATTGAGTGCCTGAACTAGTTTGCACAGCGGACTGTTGGTCCATAGCATTGTTTGGGCAGTGACATTTGTAGCATTTAAGGGAAAACCTGATCAATATTTGCAGTAGCAGAAGTTACATGGCTACAGGGAGTCAAGCAAAGCAGTGGGAACTTTTTCAGAACAGCATTGATATTGTGGGCAAACAGCCATTTTCTATACATTAAAGAAGTGTCAGGTAGAATAAAATGTGGGACCGTGTGAGGTTATGCATTTTGGAAGGAAGAATAAAGGCATAGACTATTTTGTAAATGGGGAAAAAGCTTCAGAAATCTGAAGCACAAAGGCAGTCCTAGTTCAGGTTAACATGCAGGTTCATTTGGCATTTAGGAAGGCAAATGCAATGTTAGTATTCATTTCAGGAGGGCTAGAATACAAGAGCTGAGGCTCTTTAAGGTTTTGCTCAAATCGTATTTAGAATATAGCAAGCAGTTTTGGGCCCCATATCTAAGGAAGGCTGCGCTGGTGTTGGAGCAGTTCCAGAGGAGGTTTACAAGAATGATGCCAGGGACAAAGGGTTTGTCATATGAGGAGCAGTTGAAGACTCTGGGTCTGTACTTGATGGAGTTTAGAAGGATAAGGAGGGGATCTGATTGAAACTTACAGAACACTGAGGGACCTGGATGGAGTGAATATGGAGGAGATGTTTCCACTAGTAAGAGAGACTAAGACCCAACGGCACAGTCTCAGAGTGAAAGGATGACCATTTAGAACTGAGATGAGGAGGAATTTATTCAGTCAAAGGACAGATAATCGTGGAACTCACTGCTGCAGAGGACTGTGGAGTCCAAGTCATTGAATGTATTTAAGACAAAGGTAGATAGGTTCTTGGAGATAATAAGGACTGCAGATGCTGGAAGCCAGAGTCTATAGGTGTGAGGCTAGAAAAGCACAGCAGGTCAGACAGCATCTGAGGAGGAGGAAAGTCAACATTTCAGGCCGAAACCCTTCATCAGGACTAACGAAGGACAATGGGTTGAGAAACATATCTGTCATGGTCGAATGGCAGAGCAGACTTGATGGGCCTAATTCTGCTCCTATATCTTTTATTGCATTATGGTCTAAACCTCCATATTTTGAGATGAACAGCTAACAAGACAAATAAGATGCTACTGCCATCTTGATTTAATTTAAAGTATTGAAAATCACAAATAGACTGCATATTTCCTAAAGGAAGCAACAATAGGACTTAAACTGAAAATGCTGGAAATATAAAGCAGGCTTGAACAGTATTTGTAAAAAAAAATCTCTTTCTCTTGTTAAATGTATATTTCTAGCACGTTCAGTTTTTATTTCAAACTCCAGGCATTTGCTTTGCTTCTTTTTACTTTGAACACAATGCGTATGCTTGTAGAAGCCCCGACGATGCATATAGAATACATTTACGCAAAAGGAATCTCGCTCTACTGTATCTCAATCCCAATCTTAAAAGAGCTGTTATTACAGAAGGGTATTTCAAATTGTCCCAGCACTTGCAGCCTCTTCGATTGAGATTCTAATTTTAGATGAAATAGTAACATAGTGGTTATGTTGGCAGACTGATAACCTGAAGGCCTAGAATACTGATGTGAGTCACTTTCGCAGCTGGGATATTTAAATTCAGTTAAATAAATAAATCAGCTCCATCTAAAGCTAGCATCAGCAAACCTGCATCTATCGGATTCTTGTCAAAAGCCATCTGGTTAATACCCTTTCAGGAAGGAAATCCACTGTCTGTACTTGGTTTGGCAAATTTGAAACTACAGATCACAGCAATAAGGTTGCTTCTTCACTGTCCTCTCTACTCAATTGTCAAGAAAATTGTTCATTAACACCTTTTCCAGCACATTCACAGATCAGCGGCCTTGTCAGTGATGTCCACACCCATGAATTAACAAAAGGAAGTTCCAATCAAAGGCCAATTTTGAATTGTCACCAACCCTTGGAGACTGCTCAAATTAATTTCACCTAAAACCTTTGAGGTTATCAGCCAGACAAGCCTGGACTGAATCTGAAATCAGATCCTTGTGGTAGACGCCCAGTCTCTGCTCTACTTTATTCTCTAAAAAAAAAACTTTGAATCACCTACACGGAAGCAAATTGTCATGTCAATTCATTACTTAAAATGTACAAGCTATTTCAGACTACAGTAGACAGATAGCAGATGGATTGGAACAATGAGCTTCTTCAAACTTTTCAATGTAAGCACAAGATATACACAAAGTTAAAAATTATACAGCCATGGTATGACAGATGTATGGACAGGTAAATAAAGAACAGCTTGGCCTGGAACACAGTGCTTTAATTAACTAACCAATAACTGGTTTGTCCATAAATCCCTAACGTGAAGTTTTCATTCAGACATGTTCTATTGCCCAATGGATTCAGATAAAGCCTTTGGATCGATTTTGAGGGTTAAAAGAAAGAAACTGTATAACTTACTTCATAGGTTTGCTTTGAGTTAATGAAGACATTTCCTATTTCAACTTGGTCCACATTCAGGATCACCTGGGGACCCAAACCTTCACACTTGATACGGAGGGGCAAGCGAGTTTCACGACCTAAAGAACCAAAGCATTGATACACAACATCAATATTTAACTGTGAGATCATGACACATAAAACATTTATAAGCATCACCTTGTAGCTGCAGTGGTTTGCAGTTATTGATTATTTCCGTGAGTTCAATGAAATGTACAGTAATAGATTGCTGATAAGCTATAATGGAGGCTCCTGGAATACAGCTAATCAGATTGTGATAAATTGAAATCCCAGCAGCAACCAATATGCAATTTTACGAGTCTTAACAAACTTACTTCACCAATGGTACAGTCAACAAATTCAGGAAAACATCATTAAAGTGTTGTGAGAATACACAGCACACTTCCAGAAGGTCATAAGCACAAACTGAGCTCTTTAAAGGGAGATACTTACACCGAAAGGAAGAATATTATGTAATCTGGAGAAATAGTTGCAGTTTGGAGTAAGATAATTATCAGTTATTAAAGATGCAGTGGCAGCCTAAGAGCCAAATGGGTCATTGTTGTGTGAAGTCATCTTTAATATTGTTGGTACCTCATTGTGAATGAATAAGAAATTGAATCTTCAATGGTGTACATGCCTGCATGGATACAATGACAGAACATTGTATTCATTGTATAGAGATTTTCAATCTCTTGTCCTCTCTCTTTTCCTGTCCTGAAAATAAGTTTTACTGAACTCCAGTTCCTGGGATACCATGTAACTTTTTGATACTTCAGTCAAGCTTCCACTATTCAAGTGGGAGTCTTATAACGATAGATAGAAAATTATTTACCACAGAAGGCATTGGGGATGTTGGCATTCTGATAATTTTACTGGACAAGTAATCTGGATGACCAGATTACAGCTGTGCAACAAGAATTCAAATCCCACTGTGACAACTGGGGAAATTTAAATTCAATTAATAAACCTGAAATAAAATGCTAGTCACATTAATAATGATTATGATTACTGGAATGACTTTAAAACAAAATCTATTTGTTTTACTATTGCTCTCATTAAGAAGAAATGTGTTGTCCTTGCCTGATCTGGCTCACTTGTGACTCTAGATCTACACCAAGTTGACTCTTAACTACCATCAGAAATCATTGAAAAAGCCACGTGGTAGGAGATGGTTCACCACAACTTTCTCAAAGTAAATACAGACGTGTAATAGATCGTAGCATCGCCAACAAAGCTCACATCCCAAGCATGAATGAGTTTAAAAAAATCAGAGACTTTCCAAATCCTGCCATCATATGTATCACATATGTTTATTTTCCAGCAGGAGTCTTTGAATAACAAAAGTTGGAACTCTATAAAATAAAAGTTAAGTTTTGCTCCCTGTTCCTGGGGCATTAAAGTCTCAGCTATTCCACAAGCTAAGATTGGCTAATACAGCACAGATATGGAATCAAGCTTACAACTGTGATTGTGTAACTCAGTTACCAACTGAAGCACAGAGAAGCTACAGACATAGTGCTTAAAAGTGTTGTGCTGCACAAAACTAAGAAGAATATTACTGTTAGTTTATATAAAAGTGGAAAGAAATGTGTTAAAAATCAATGTTTTAACATAACCTGTACTCTTCCTTCAACTGTAACTTTCCTTTCTGAACACATATAGCTCAGAATTACAGAATTGTTATGCTACAGAAGGAGGCCATTTGGTCTATTATGCCTTCACCAGTTCTATAACATAATGTCAGTCTTCTGTCTTTTCCCCTGAAGACCATTTCTACTTGGATAGTCAGGGCAATTGAAACAGTCCAGCCAAAATGCAGGATCTAGGCATTAAGCCCAAACCTCAGCTTAAGACAATGTGCGAATTCAGAACAAAAAGTCAGCCAACTCCTACAGATAACGCTGGCACTCTTATTCAGTTGAGCTTGAAATTTAATTCCCAAAATTATAACAGAACTGTTTTGACTGACTGTAACTGAAAAAAAAATTGTTCGAAGACCTGGTCGCCAACTCCATAAATACAGCAGTATATTAAAACCAATTAAAGAATAATAAACATGGAATGGATTTTGAGGTTTGTGTATACTATATAATGAGGAGTTACAGCACAGACTATCTTCCAGCCAAGTCTCTACTCATCTTCCTTCAGTGAATTCTATCAGCAAAGAATTCCTAATGTGACAGGGCTAATAGTTGTCCTTCAACCAACAACATCAGAACATATTATCTGGTCATTTTTCTCAGTACAGTCTGTGGGGCCATTCTTCCTGTTAAGTGGTTGCCACTTTTGTTTGTGATACAACTTTGGCTACACTTCAAAATGACTTCATTGGAGGTGCAACATTTAGGAATGCCTTGAGGATGATAACAGTGCTTTATAAATTTCTCAAATCCCCTGTTTCTAATACCATCAGCTTCTTTAAACTTTCTTCTGGATTACTCTAATTTCTAAGCAAGAATAACAAAGAGGTCAGGTTGGCTTGGCTGTCCTCGGTAGCTGATGCAATTTAAGAGTTTCAATGGGCTTGAGTTCCATTTCAACCCCACACACTTTTAATCACTCCTGATACCTGCTCACCACTCTTCAAGATCTGCCAACAGGCCTTCATGAACCTATCCCACTTAACAGCTTCTGCAAATTTAGTTTCTTGCTCCAAAATAGACTACAGTCCCAACAGTGGCCACTGCTCCAAAAGGCATTGCTGGACCACTAATTAGTCTGCAGCTTTTGAGAGTAGAGCATCCTGCCTTATGTGTGGGCAAAAGAGTGGTGGGCACTGGTTGTAGAAGTCACAACCTCAGGAAACTGATTGTTTGAGCATTGTGGTTTCTGGGGCTGGCAAAGGGGAACTCTCCTCAGTTTTCCAATGGATTTACGGGGATACCACCTCAAATCCCAGCAGTTGCCATAAAGACAATGGTGGATGAGCCTGCTGTTTTCATGAATTACAAGGGTTTCCACACACAACTGGAGTGTCATTATCAACTTCACACTCTACAGGTCTTGACCTTCCATCTGATAGTTGATATGACACTTTACTCCAAGCCAATCCTCCATAATCTAAAGCTCTGATTCTGCACCATTAATGAGGAACTGGTTGAGCCATGTAAGTCCTGCTTACTTCTACCGATCCTCTCAGGAATCCACACTTTGAGGATGAACTCTGCTACGACTCCATCCAGGCGTTGACTACAGTCCTCATCGAAAGGACCACGGGAGTAACCAGGCAACAATTCAACTGTTTAGGTAGGTTTGTTGGCTTCCTTCAAAACAGCTCAGAATAAATGTCTCAAATGTTGATAATTTCCTTTAGCAATGACTCCACTGCTACAGAACATAATGGAGCAGCAAGTGGCCATCACAGATAAGGAACAACATTGCTCTTGCATGAAAGTGAAACTTTCACACAGGTGGAGAAAATGAACACTCTTCAGAGTTTGAGGGTTTGCGTCTGACTTCAGCTACTAAGATGTTCCAAACTGTCCCCATAATCAGCATTTATCTGATTTATTACCTGATTTATTATCTGATTGTCCACCTTCACATTGAGAATAACCTCCATCGTGTTGTGTGGCAATATCACCATGCTAAACGGAACAGACTTCGAACAAATCTAGCAACTCAAGACTGGGCATCGATGAGGTGATGTGGGCTATCACAGCAGCAGAAATATATTCCAACACAATCACGGCTTAGCATATTTCCCCACTTAACCACTACCATCAAGCCAGGGGATCAACCCTGATTTAAGGAGAGTGCAGGAGGGCATACCTAAAAATGAGGTGTCAGTCTGGTGAAGCTACCAAACAGCACTACCTGCATGCTAAACAGCATAAACAACAAGTGGTAGGCAGACTTAAGGCAACTAACGATCAGCAGTCTTCAGCCAAGAAGTGCCGAATGGATGATCCATCTCGGACTCCTCCAGTGGTCCCCAGCATTACAATACCAGTATTCAGTCAATTCAATTCACTTGATGTGAGATCAAGAAATTGTCGGTGTACTGAATACTGCAAAGATTATGAGCCCTGCCAAGAGGCCACCAATAGTACTGAAGATGTGTGCTCCAGAACTTGCCACACCCCCTAGCCAAGCTCTTCCAGTACAGCTACAACACTGACATCTCCCTGACAATGAGGAAAATTGCCCAGGTTATGCCCTCTACATAGAAAGCAGGACAAATCCAACGCAGTCAATTATTGCCCCATCAGTCTATTCTCAATCATCAGTAAAGTGATGGAAGGTGTCATCAACAGTGCTATCCTGCAGCATCTGCTCAGTGACACCAAGTTGTGGTTCCACCAGGGCCACTCATTACCATCTCAGTTCAAACACGGACAAATGAGCTGAATTCCAGAGGTGAGGTGAGCGTGTCAATCCTTTACATCAAAGTGGCCCAGCAAAACTGGAATCAAGGGACATCAGGAGGCAATTTTCCTGCTGGTTGTTGTCATACCTGGCACATAGGAAGATGGTTATGGTTGTTGACAGTCAGTCATTTCAGCTCCAGGACATCTCTATGGGAGTTCCTCAAGGTAATGTCTGACACCCAAACATCTTCAGATGCTTCACCAATGACCTTCCCTCTATCACCAGGGTAGAAGTGGTTATGTTTGCTGACGATTGCGCAAGGTTCAGCACCGTTCGTGACTCCTCAGATACTGAAGTAGTCCATGTTCTAATGCCACAAGATCTGGCCAAAATCCAGGCTTGGACTGACAGATGATACGTGACATTTGCACCAAACAAAAGCCAGGCAATTACCATCTCCAATAAGAGACAATCTGACAACATTTAATGGTATTATTATTGCTGAATACCCCACTATCAGCATCCTGGAGGTTACCATTGACTAGAAACTCAATGGACTTGCCACATAAACAAACAGCGTGGCTGCAACAGCAGGTTGAGGGTAGGAATTTTGCAGAGTAGTTCATCTCCTGACTCCCCAAAGCCTGTCCACCATTTACAAGGCACAAGTCAGGAGTGTGATGGAATACTCCCCACTTGCCTGGACAGGTTCAGCTCCAAACATACTTGATGCCATCCAGAACAAAGCAGCCCGCTCGATTGGTAC